GATTATCGCGAACGATCACGACCGCCGGCTGCCGCTCTAAACGGCATCGTAGGTGTACAGTTCACAAGTCATCCTGTTCAATATTGTGAAAGAACATCCTGATGGTTGTGGTCCTTGATGCACAACTTGTGAATCGATTCTCGATCGTTTTTTACCTCGGTTGCCTGTGGGTACCTTTTTTATACGCGGTAAAAGATAATTATATATTCTTGTTGTTCCGATTAGGGTGGTAGGACTATCGTCGATCCGAGAATATTCCCCCGGGCGGCACTGTTTCCGTATCTCGAAATAAATCGTCGCCAGTCGATGAAGAATTTCGCGCCACCCCCGGTCTCTCTCTCTCGACTCGTATCACGTTGCACTCCGAACGAGGAAAAGCCCGAGGATGATGACACACGACGTAGGAAGGAGAGCCGGTATAATAAGAAGAAGAGGACGAAGAAGAAGAAGAAGAAGAGAAGAGTAAGAAGAAGAAGAAGACGAAGAAACTGTCGGCTTCCTCTGACCAGCCAGAGAGACACACTATTTAAATATACTCACGAGGCTGTGTTGCGCGCGGTTGGTAATGTCGACCGTCGAAGTCTACTAGCCCTCGCGCGACGCACTTCACTGCTCAGTTTTACCACACGATTCTTCCTCCTCCTTCTCCTCCCCGTCGTCGAAACTCGTCGACGTTTCGGTGCGTTCGCGGCACAAAAAACGATCAAACAAGAATAACAACAACAACAACAAGAACAAGAACAAGGAGAACAAGGAGAAAAACAGCGGCAGCGGCGGCGGCGGTGGCGACGACGACGACGACGACGACGACCACGTCCACGGGAACGAGGATCGCGCACGAATCGGCGTGGGTAAGAACGGGAACGGTAACTTCACGGAACGCGAGCCGTGTCGCGAGCGAAAATTCCCGGCAGACAACGAAGAACCGAAGTACGAGCGTGGTCGTGGTATCGGCGTGAAGGTGGCTCGGTACGGCTCGACTTGGTCACCGATTCTACCGTGGCAACGACGCTTGTGCTGGTGTGTTGCTGGTGCTGCTGGACGGCAGGCACGCGTGCGGTTAATATCGTGCGGGGGATCGGCGCGTGTGTTGCACGCGGCATGCACGAGGAGCCTCGTGTCACGTCGAGGCGGAGAAGGGATTGTCGGTGGCCCCGCGTCGGGCGCGCGCGACGGTTCAAATTAGACTGAACGGCCCGCTCGCGCAGCCCGAGGCCGGCCACAGCGCCAGCGACTCCTGGTGGACGCCGGTCGAGGCTCTGCGCGCGCACCGTTCGCCGAGCCAGTGAGCCCCGCGCGCGCTTCACTCGACTACACACAACCAGACGCCAGACCACGGGACCTTTAAGAACCTGTGTAACGACGACCTAACAACCGAGGAACCGCACGCGTGATCCTCTCCTGCTTCTTCGTCTTCTTCTTCTTCTTCTTCTCCTGCTTCTTCTGCTTCTTCTCCCGTGCTTGTGCTTGTGCTGCTGCTGCTGCTGCTGCTGCTTGCTCCTCTTCGCTGCACACCGCTTCTCTGCCTGTCTTTCTCCAGCTAGCTGTGCCACCTTCTTCTTCCATCCAGTCGAGAGACCGAGACCAGATCGTGAGTACTGAAACGTAAATGTTCTCTTTGTTACGCGACCGCCCTCTTTTTTCGGTTAGGTTATGTGCCACGAACGTTCGATCCGTGTCAACGATTCTCTCTCTCTCTCTCGCTCGCTCGCTGTCCCTGATCAGTTGTCATTATGCGTATGCTTACCTCGTTGAGATGTATCGAACGTACCGACTATACACTTCGAAATCCCTACGACCAGGCAACGAGATCCTCGTTTTTGCCCCGGTTTCTTGCGACGTCGCGATCGAAGCGTGACATTCGCTCGGTGCATTAATCGCGATGCATTCGCGCCAAAAAGCTCGCGCATTAAACATGGCGCTGCGTGTTATTAACGACACGACACGAAGCGTCACTCTCTCTCTATGCGCTCGTTGCACCGCGTTACGAATTCCATTATTCGTTTTACGTCGTATTTTCACGCGGTGTTGACGTACACGGAGGTTCTACTGACCCTCGTCACGTTTATTTTTTGTTTTCGCCTTTTTTACCGAGGTTTCACTTTGCTCGGTGCGCTAAGGCGACATGGTTCAGCGCACAATAAGCGCCTTTCTCCGTCTCTCTTAGTTCCCCGTCCCGCCGTTAGATTGTCCTTCGTTCAGACATTTATAAGTACAATCTAGTGGACGACGCTGTTACTTTTTTTTATCCCTCCTGTTTTTTTTCTCCCCTCTCTCTCTCTCTCTCTCTCTTGCTCTCTTATGCTTATTTACGTCCCGAGGAAATCTCGTTCCCAGCCATGAAATACACATCGGTATTCTCTCTCTCGTTGGTAATAACATTTTCAGTTTCTCTCTCCGTGTACCTACGCGAGTCTTGTGTTTTCTTTTTTTTTCTCCTTCTCCGATGAATCCTTCCATTTCGATACGATCGGTGCCAGAGCACTAGACACGCACGTCAGTTTTTCTAACATCACTTTCCTGGAAACTTTGTCGCGTTGTTATTGTTGACACTAATTCCTGGAACGACGAATTCCAGCGAATTTCGATACAGCTCGCACAGCCGGGTACGAAGGGCAAGCAGGGCTAGGTTACCCGTACACGGTAACAATGTTTTCGATACAGATAGAACTCTCTGTTTTCGCTACAGACCTTCCGACCAAACGTCGTTTACTTTACCATCGTCTCGTATTCCAACCTAGGCATATACATATATACCATACATATATAGACACTTTGACCAGTATTCGTCTACGATTATTCTCTTCGTACAATATCCCGATTAGAATGGGAATTAACATCGGGTGTTCTAATATTTACCTGCTCTCGTACGGAACGGTCGTATACGTTCCCGAGCATAATGACGAGGCACTTATTAAAATCAACAACGACAGCGCAGAGGAGAAGAAGAAGAGTGCAATCAGGTTGCTCCCTATAAAACGCTAAACTGTTACGAATCACAGACCGCTCGGTCGGGAGCCATTATTCGAGTCTCGAGGACATTTCGCTTTCTTCGTCTCTCTGTTGCCCCTCCGGCCCCTCTTTCGCTCTTTCGGTAGGTTCGACGGGTCGTTCCTCCTCTTGCTCCACGCTCGCGCCGATCAGCGTCATCGGGCCACCGAAAATAAAGTCTTCCTTCGTTTCCCTTCTCGCGTCGCCCCCCTTCTTCGTGCCGCTTCCGACTCGAATATACGCGCCACTAGTCCCGGAGAGGTTTTTAAAAGCACGACGGCGGAGGACGGGGAGGAACGAAGAGGAACACTCCTCGAGAGCTGCCAATCAAACGACCCGCCACGAGAGAGTCGGCCTCTTAAACGGCCAGTTTTTCACACTCTCGTCCCCGTGACAGATTAATCCTGAGTTAAACGGCGACACTCGAGCCGTCGATAATTAACGTTTCCATTCTTTTTTTCTCGTTTCGCTTGTTGTTAATTGTTAATTGTTAATTTTGGCCATTTGAAAATTTGCGGGGCGGTGGTGTGCGCGCGCGATTCGTCGTCGTTCGATTGCATCGTTCTCCCGGATTGCTTAAATAATAAATAGAGGCCGTATTTCGCATATCCGGACGTTAAATAACCGCGCCGTTCGAATGCAGCTGATTAATCGGTGTGTTTCGCTTCTGTAGCGGAATATTTACGGCGCGTTCGTCAGGATAATGTATCAGTGACACCGATGGTCCTTCATTATCTCCCTCCGGCAA